TAAATAGTATGTAGAAAAACACAAAATAAACTGAATAAAACGCCAAACATACCATGACTTCTATTTTGATAAAAAAACAGGCTGGGGTCCTGAGAATATTTTATCTTCTCAGGGGGGGGGCTCAGAGGTAAAAAGTTTGAGAACCACTGGTGTAACCCATAAATGTATATAATGAAACCTTTCCGAGATATAATAATTTTATTTTGGATACCTTTCATCTGGACACCCTGTATATACCGTATATTAGCTGGAAAACTGAGGGGGAGTCGTAGACGTAGGTGGCAGGATAATATTAATCAGGATCTTCAAGAACAATACTGTGAACGTGTGGACTGAATTTGAATGGCTCATGATAGGACCCACTCTCGAGCTTCTGTGAACACGGTCAACTGAATGCATTTTTTTAATTCGCATAGTGGGGGGGGGGTTGGAGTCCAGTTGGGTCCACTCGGCACGGTGGCCATGATTGGCCTATTGTACCTGCCCCGACTGAGTATGATGGAGAATTTGGTGGAATGAAGATTGGCAGGGGAAACCGAAATACTCAGAGAAAACCTAGCCTAGCGTAACTTTGTCCACCACAAATCCAAGTTGACCAGATTCGGGTTTGAACCCGGGCCGCCGCGGTGGGAAGCCAGCGACTAACCGCTTGAGCTATGGCGCGGCCTCAACTGTATGTTACGCAAAAGGCGGGAAATGTATTGACTAACTGAGCGACTGTCAACTTTTCAAGCATGTCTCTGCTCCACTGGTGACCCGTTGCATCACTTGATTTACAGTCATGAAACATTGTCATTACAGCCGATCTGAAGACGTGTCCTGTTTTGCTCTTTTAATTAATGGAAGTCTATTAAGGTTCTATAAATCGACGTGTTTAAATGTTCCTTGCAATACAAGTTAGACTTTCTTATGGGACCAGGTCTTGAGGCGTCAAGCAGCCTTCAAGCGAAGATGTGGCTGTACTGCTGTCCTTCGTCTTCAGTGAAAGTGGCCAGCGTGAGCCGGGGTTGCGTCACAGCGTCTAGCTGCACACAGCTAATGTGTAACATGATGATGTGCTCTGTTGTCAGCAGTGGCTTTGCATTTGGGTTCAGAGACCTGCCTATGTTCTTTGCACTAAGTTCAGAAGCTGCTTACATATTAAGGAAGTCATGATAAGTGAACTCCTTGTCACCAGACATGAGGCGCCCATCTAAAACATTTTTTAGGGTACGACACACCCTGGGGGGCATGCGGTAGTGCAGTTGGTTGAGGCACTATGCTACAAGCCGGAAGGTCGTGGGTACGAGTCCCGATGAGGCGGATTTGTTTTTCAATTAACCTAATCCTTTCAGCCACACTATGGCCCTGGCTTCGACTCAGCCTCTTACAGAAGTGAGTACCAGGAATATTCATGGGGGGTAAAGGGCAGCCGGCGCGTAAGGCTGACAACCTGACTGCCATCTGTGAGTCGATTGTCTAGAATATGTGGGAGCCTCAACATCTCACAACCCTATGGGCCTCCACGGCCTGTTACAGGGATACCTTTACTTTACTTTACTCTATTTTACTTTTACGACACACCTTGAGTAGAGAGCCTTACGATCTCCGGCGTGGCCATTTTTGTCCAGTGTATGTTGTGAATATAGACTAATAAGTTTGTAATGATGACGTGAACATCTGCGTCACTATCTGATAATGACGCATTTTCGAAGATGTTGCGCACACATGGAAGATATGCAAGGTCGCTATGAATATTCTGAATAAGCAGTCGCTGACTGCCGATGAGGGACAGTCCTCCAGCTTGGGGGTAGGGTCAGCATGTTACTAAATGTTAATAGCACATCGGACTTTGCGTGCCCTGGTAAGCACAGTAGTCATCCTTCGGGTTTCGTAAAAGGCGGAGCGTTTCTCGATTATCTATGCAACTAGTAGCTTCTCAAGAAGGAGTCAGTTCTAGAGAGTTACTTAATGGAGAGGTTGTGCCCATCATCTCTGTGTCCTAATGTTTCATCCTCGAAACTTACCGACTGACTATAGTTTGTAGCCAGCCAAATCTACCCGAACTCCGACCTGGGCGGCGGTGGTAGAGGTGTGGGTGGGTAATTTGATGAATTAATATCTCAGGGTAAATATGCTGACTATAGGATTGGTTGAGTTAGGTAACTCAGCTGGTAAAGGTTTCAGTCTCTCTCGAGGTTTTCATTTATGGGGAAATACACCAATCATACACCAAGCGCGAAGCTATAACGATTCGCTTTCATTTTAAATTTAACTTACCATGATTAACCAGTGTATACCCTTCATCACTAAATTATTTGATTAGAAGAAGCGTTAAGGCGCAGTGATATAATTTTGATCAACTACTAGCGCAGCTAAATTTAACTAAATACAAGGATACAATTAAGTTTATTTCAGTCCAATGTGACATATCATGCCTTCACCACTCAGCACTTAGTTACCTAACAGTTTCGATTCTTAATGAATCATCATCAGAGGTATACCACTACGATCAGGAAGCCACCAATACGTAAATGTTTTTATAAGACTATATACACTTAAAGCCGGTCACGGTAGCCGAGCGGTCTAAGGCATGTACTGTCTTCGCTCGCTTGGAAACCGGGATCGTGGCTTCGAATCCCACTCAGGGCATGGATGTTTAGTTTGTGTGTGTACGTTTTTCTGTGTTTGTATACAGGTAGAGGCCTTGCGACGAACTGATCATTCACCCAAGGAGTCCTACCGAATGTGTAAGATCTAGAAAAACCGAAGTGAACGGAGAAGTTTATGGAGGTAGGCCTAGGCCCACTGGGGCTGTAGTGCCAAGGGGAAAAAGTACACTTAAAATATTTATGATGCTCACTATATCTAGTTGTTAATTTTCCAACTACATATAGTGAGCATCATAAATGTTTTAAGTGTATATAGTCTTATAAAAACATTTACGTATTGGTGGGTTCCTGATCGTAGTGATATACCTCTGATGATGATTCATTAAGAATCGA